TAGTACGTTTTGGTGACGTCATCAATTATGACGTCATAATCTGACATTTTGTCACAACTTCCAAATTAAAATAAACTGGAGAACAAAGAAAGCTCGTCTGCCAAACTTGGTTCAGAAATATATAAACCAAGCAAATATAGCCTTCATGAAACATTAGGGGGGTGGTTTGGCCCCTACGTGTCACTCAAGTGAAAACCGCTGCAATAATAGTAGTTTTTAAAATTATTCTANGTTCAGAAATATATAAACCAAGCAAATATAGCCTTCATGAAACATTAGGGGGGTGGTTTGGCCCCTACGTGTCACTCAAGTGAAAACCGCTGCAATAATAGTAGTTTTTAAAATTATTCTAGAGGTTCATGCATGTACAGTGATTAACTAGCATCAACTAATAAAACTAGTAAAAAGGAAAGTAGTGCAGTGAAAAAGTCGCAAAAGTTGCAAAAAAATTAACAAGTGGTGGAAGTCTTCCACATTAGCTGAACGAATGACTGGGAGGAGTAAAGCCCATCCCGTCCCTTTTTAGGAGGAAAATTCAACAAATAGTTTTTTGATAATATAATAATAATAATAATAATAATAATAATATTTATTACAGGAAGCTCTCTCACCTACCGGTGATCTAAATTCATATCAAATAAAAAAAATAGTTACAAGACCAGTTACATAAGTAGTACATTTTATATACAACCGTTCTGAAACGCTGAGATACCAACTACAATTCAATATCGTAGGAGAACCACGATTGATAATGTTAATAGGACTGAGTGGAATTCAGTCTGTAATCACACGAGTGATTAACAAATTCGGACAACCGCGAAGTGGGAGTCCGATTTGTTAATCACGAGTGTGATTACAGACTGAATTGAACGACACGATGTCCTGTTATCAATTAATCATAACAGTTACAATTTTCCACAGAAGTAAACGTTTTATTTGAAAAAGAGCTTTTAATAGTCATTTTTAAATATCATAATTAAAAATATGGAGACAAGCTTGCAAAATGGCAGTTAAGTTTCTTTCAAAACAGTCACCAGAGACTAAACCGCCACCATTTTAGAAAGTCAGTCTCTTGAATTGGTTACTATAGTGATTGTAATTAATGTTGTGATTGGTGGATTTAGTGGAAAGGACCTAAAATGATTGGCTCATGTAACTGTCCGATTACAGGTGTCCGATTACGGCTAACTGTGCGGTTACACTGTCCGATTACAACTTTGCACATTAATTAGAGCAAAATATAGCAGTGTATGAACCAATCACATTTGAGGAAATTGTAATTGTCATGATTAAAGAGACGAATATGTTGTGACGAATTAAGCAGCTAGTTTAATTAATTTTGCAGGAGAATCAGGAAAGTCTGGAGTGAAGTATGTGCGCTGGGGAAGGACCACCTGTCCGAGTGGTGCTGAAACTGTTTACAAAGGTAGGAATTAGCTCAGTAATGTTTTAAAATTTTTAATCTGTAATGGCCACATACGAAAAGGAAAGAAGAGTTGTTTTGTCTTTATCTCGAGAATGACAGGTGTCTAATATTTAACCCGCCAGCTGAACCACTGATGACGCAATAAGTTATACTGTATCCTTACAAACCGTTCAAATTATGACCAGCACACATCACATTTGCTGACGAGGAGCTGTCGTCAGCTTAACAAAAAATAATTATGAATTCGATATATTTACGACTATCATAGAAAAACAAAATGGTGCCAAAGGTATTTCGATCAAGAAATGCGTTTCCCTGTGATAACAAAGGGAAGAATAATGCTTCAGGAAGTGGAGCAAAGAGAGGGAGAGAGGTCAAAATCCCGTTTCATGCACGAAATTTAATTTGAAATTTACTTTGAATAAGAGACTTAAATCCACCAATTATGCTTGTCTTTAGCTAAACTTAGTTACTTTTTACTGTAATGTTTCAGTTGCTCTTATCACTCATCACGCATAAACCATTTCCTACCCTCCTAGTTTTGCGGCTTTGTACATTAATGCTCCCTTCTTATTAATCTGTTAGGTATAATTGGTGGTGAGTCTTACGGTCACCAAGGTGGTGGAGCGAATTATCTCTGTCTCCCACTCAATCCAAAGTATGGCAAGTACAAAGACGGACATCAAAACGCTGGATACGTGTATGGCGCCGAGTATCAAGTCGCTTACGGTTTCAACCCATTTAAAAACATCCATGACTACGAGGCAGTGTGTGCTGTTTGCTTCACTAAGACACGAGGCTCAATGCTTATGATGCCCGCGAGAAATGATTGTCCATCTGGCTGGACCGAGGAGTATCATGGGTACCTGATGACTGAATACTACAAACACAATAATCAACGTGACTTCATATGTGTTGACGAGGATGCGGAGTATGTCCCTGGTACCAAGGCCAACAAAGATGGTGCATTACTGTACCCTGTGGAAGGGGTGTGTGGCTCACTTCCGTGTAAACCGTACGTGAATGGGAGAGAGTTGACCTGCGCTGTATGCACCAAGTGACGGAAGACTGCCATTACAGTGGAAACCAAGCTAAGGCTACAGAAAAAGTTCTTGAACAGTGATTGCAGACTCTTGTGATTTAATATTTTATGGGTTAGATTCTTAGTCAAAGGGTAGGCTTACATGTACATCATGATAAAGCTCACATTTTAATTCAGTCAGAACTAAAGATGTTCATGGATGTAGCGAATAAAATAACAACAATAAACTCAAGTGAGATCACTCAAGCGCTTTCTTCTTTGCTTGACAGCCATTCAGTTTTCACCATCTCAAGAACTCCTCATAGAATTGGCTAAATCAACAATTGATACCTACTCCTAGATTGAAAACGCTCGCTATTGCTAATCAACTTCATGAGCAAGGTCAATTTTGAATGCTGAGGCTGATACACGAACATTTTCGTAATTCAAACAAGCGTTCAGGTCACTAGGGTTGCACATCATTGATCAACATAGTCTGTATGCCGTTTTAATTAGTGCCAAGCTGTTTAGTACGTGGACCACAGATGCTAAATAAGGGAAACTTTTGGTAGAGACCCGCTAGGATGTTCGTTTCCAATAAACATTTTTCTGATCGCATAAGGGATGGGTTAGAAAGTCATTTCAGTAGGGAAATCTTTCCTGACGTCCTTAATTTCATGTTGCCTTATTAACATGCAGCTTTGCTTAGAGAAGGCACCATGCTAGGAGCCTACGATCAGGCATTTATGAACACTCTGAGATTTACTTCAGTCCAACTTCTCTAACTTTAACGGGCCAGGGTTGTTTGAAAAATTAGGCCTGATATAATTCCTTTACAAATTCCTCTACCCCACCTTTTATGAACTATTGCCATGCATGAGTACTAATAATCAATGAACGTGACTTCCGATACACGACACTCGTAAAATCGTTCGGGAGGTTTAAGCGAGGTGCGAAACATCAAATGAATTTTGAATTTTTTTAACCAGTGTCACCCAAACAGCTTTCATAATACATCTTAATCAAACAATCTCAGTTGATGTTGTTCGTGGCTCGATCAGAGACTGAAACGCGCGATACTAATATGGTACTGTATAGGAGGATTCCAAATATATGTTTGAGTAGAAATTTATCTCAGTCACAGATAAGCTCGAACCACAAAGAATAGAGCCGCGGTTAGAACCAACCATCGATTTTTCCAATGGCTATACAGTAAACTTGTAGAAAAAAACTAAGAGCTCGGTAAAACACGAGGGTCTTAAGCTTGTAAAAAAAAAAAGGGTACAGATGTATGGCACCGCAAATGATTCCGGTATCGCAAATGATCCCCAGATTGTACCATAAATGATCCCGGACCGGAAATGGTCGCCTCGCCATAAAATTTGGACATGTGAGGACTCAGGAAATTGGACAGTGGATTTTAAATTTATGCAATTTCTTTTCTTTATGACTGTGAAACTCAGAAAACCGTGAACATTTGGATTTGATTCCAGAAGGTTAATTTGGTACTGAACCAATCACTATAAAGTTTAGGACACGCGAGAAAACCTCAAAGCCACAACCAATTGCAATAGGCCACGTTCGATATATCAATATTCTAACATCGATCCGAGGCTTTCGGGTCAAAATTGCAAATTTTTTTAGTTTCCTTTGTCTTTCAATTCGCAAAAGAGACTTGGATAAAAAGAAAACACCACCAAACATAGAAGTTTGTCCTGAAGCCTCGGAGCCATGTTAGAACATTGATATATCGAACGTGGCTTATTACCGCTGGTGTTTGCGGTTTAGTTTTCTCACGCTTAATTGGCTTTTTCCTTGTTTCACAATAATAATCCTTAAATATTTCTGGTATTCACAGTTTTCTGAGTTTCACAGTAATAATACAATATTTTGTTTCAACGGTTACTATATGAAACGCAAGAAAATGTGCAGTATGAACGATTTGAATGCAAATTTCACAACATTGAGAATGATATTACGCGTTACGAAATCCTGTGTATGAAGTTTGTAGTTTAGCTGGATCCTTCCCTGAATTACTTTGTTGGGTCCGGGCCTGAGATGTATGATAACACAGGATGTTCACTATATTCTCAAATTTGGAGACAACTAAGAATTCCCAAGCGGATTGACTACATTGTTACTACGGTAACTAGCACGAAGGAATCTTAGAGACTTAATTT